CGCCCACTGAGGCCGGGATCGGGGCGCCGGACCGCGGGGTCGTGCGGGTTCTGGGGAGGGGGACGGCTCGGTCCATTTCGGACGGAGCAGAGTAATCGCCGGTCCGTCCGTGCGGGACCGGAGGACCCGGCGCGTGCCCTTTGGTCGGTAGCTGCATCAAGTGGCAGCGATCCCCGCTTGCCTGATGACTTGTGGGTTGGGGTCGACACCGGCGATCGATAAGCTGTTACGTCGCTTCTCCCTGCCCGAAGGTGGGTATGGTTCTGCCCTGGGCTGGTGTTATGGACTCGGAGAGGAGAGAAAAGCAGAGGGGTCTTTCTCATCTAGGGCGGTTAGGAACGTCCTGAGCTATGATCAGAATTGAATTTCTGTGATCTGATCAAGCGAGATAAGGAAGTGGGCTCCTAGTAAAACCGGCTCCTTTAGTGTTTGAACTAAAAGTCTTTGCCCCTAGGGATAAGAGGATTTGTTTTTTTTTTTTTTTTTTTTTTTTTTTGTACTTGTACATGAAGTGATTCTGTTAGGTGCCTCTCAAAGGTTTCTCGTGAGGATTTGTGTTCAGGGAGGAATTGTAAGTGGTCAAAGCTTGAAACTCCTGTTTCCAACAGAAAGGGATCAGATGATAAGACTAGCAGGTGATTATGCAGAAAGTCGATGTCTCAAGCCATAGCGAGTTTCAGAGTAGAATCACAAGGCAGAACACCAAACTCTGAGAGCAGAGATGAAAGGAACCTCAGCACTGCAACTAGGAGAGCTTTATAGAGCGTGTGCTCGTATGTGTGTTAGAGTTTGTATTAGTGAAAACAGTAATAATAGTAGGGGATGAGCTCCTGGGATTTAGGAGACCGGAAGAGGAAGTAGTTGTTAGGTGCTGAGGATGCACCCTGAGAAAGCCATTACTTAAGCCTCTAGGGCAGGTACTAATTGTAATTTGTGGAACAGTCAGAAATTGTTTGTTTTTACATTGCCTTTTAATATAATTAGCACGAATGCTCAAGATAACTTTATTTTTCCTGTTGCTGGGGATCGAACTCTAGACGTTGCACTTGCGCATAAAGCTAGGAGCCACTGAGCTAAATCCCTGGCTCCACAAGGTAACTCTTAATACAGACTCAGTATTAGGGAATTCCAATACTTTTTTACACAGCGATTCTTACCTGTTATGTGTAACATTTAGTTTTTCCAAGTTGTGCCTTAAATTTTTGAAGCGTTTTATATACTTAAAATCCTTCGGTGTTTATGTTCCTTGTGACCATTTTTTTACAAGACTACGATTATTGTAATTCCAGGTTACCTTTCTGGATGTCAGAGTCTTATTTGATGCTTTAAACTGTGTGAAATCACACAATTGAAATTTTTTAGTGGCCTCCAGTTAATGTCTAGAGCTAATTGTTTGGGAAACAGTGATTCTTTTTCAGGGGCTGCTGTAAATTAACCTAAAAGCAGGGGAAAGAAAGAGTCGACTTCCCCCTTCTCAGAGTGTGAAGGGATGAGAGGAGTAGAGAGGGTCTGTGAGCTTTGTCAGGCATTGTCCTGGGCCTGCTGTGATGGGGAAAGTGCCTGTTTCCCAAATAGAGATGTTTGTGTTTTACACATGTGTGGACATTTTCAGAATCTCTGTCCATCCTTAGTCTTGCTTACCTCTCAAAGGCCAGTTTTAATTCTGACATTTCCATTGTTATCCTTCAGCTATCTTTTTGTCTCCCACATGAATGTTGACTGACTTTCACTCAGACTTGCCTGTAGCATACATTTTATGTTGCTGTGGCATATTCATAGAGAACAAAATAAAGTCTGTGAAATAATACCCTTCCTACCAGTGGTACACTCTGTTGTTCTCTATTCTGCTTGTTCTCCTTCCTGCTCATCCTGTCTTCTTTGCTGGTGTGGACTCACTAATTTTGGACCCATTAGCATATTATAACCCTTAGTCTGATAAACACTTCCCCGGACGAAACCTTAAAGTATAATTTGGACTAATAGTCTTGAAGAGTTGCCGATGGCTAGTTTGTGGTTGCTTGCTGTCAGAGCATTCCATAGCAGTAAGAACTCTTTCTGACATGTACAGACTGACCTGGGGTAGAATTCATTTCTAAACTGTTTTTCAGCTTTTTATAGCTACGAGTCTTTATGGTGTGTGTACTATTCTAAATGTTGTGGTAGCATATAATATTCTTTGTGCTCTTGCATTTCAGAGCTAATAGATGAAACTTTTTCCATGGATTTTATGGAACATTCAACAGCACTTTTTAAAAAGTCCAACTTCAGAATAGATTCTAGTTTTAGAAAAGTTGTAGAAATGGAACATTTAAAAAAAAACTAAGCTAGATACCACTTATTTCTAAAGGAGTCAAGCTTGATTACATAAAATTTGTTGAATAGAACCAAATGAATCATGTAACATAAGCCCTTCCTTGAGTTCCGAATCTAAATTCTGTCCATAGTCTAGGGGAGAAATGAAGTTAGACAAATGCACTCCACAGAGTTCTAGGTGGTTATGGGGCAGAGGTATTGAGAGAACCACTTTTAGTGGGGCAGCTATGTTCCAGGGAGAGTATGGAGATTTGAATTGTGTGTATAGTATGTGCTTTTCAAAGTAAAGTCTTTAAAGAAAGTGTTAAAGGGGCATTAGACTGAAAAGTGAGCAGCAGTTAACATGAGTGGAAAATTTAAAGCTTATCAAGAAATAAAGGGAACGGGAAGTTTTTGTGTTTCTGATCTGAGTTTTTGCTGTTGCTTTGTTTTTCTTAAATTTTATCAGTGATATTAATGCAGGTAAATAAAAACAAGTACACGAAATACAGGTGAGATCTATACAGATTTAAACAATAAAAATGTTTTGATTAGAATTTTAGAATGAATGCTAATCCTTGCTGCAAATCTGTATAGGTTAAAAGTTGTTTTAAATTCAGGAATTGAAGTTGGATTGATGATCTGTAATTTTAGGATTACCTTTTCCTTCTTTTTCTCCTCAATCTCTGCCCCTTTTTTCAGGAGAGATAGGTGAGAGACACACACTAATGACTCATGTTTTCCAAGACGCAGAATTAGATCCTTTAAGTTAGCACTCCATCTGTTCAGGTGCATACTTTTTAAGTAGGTTTAAATGTGTATAATTTCAATACTGATTATCAGCATAGGGAATTCTCACCGTCTGAAGTTATAGAAGGGAGAGAGGGAAACTAATGCTTATTCAGTTTGTAGTATTTATTAAGTTACAGGGGCTGTAACTCACTGACAGATTTCAGTAGTTCTCATCTAGCAACTCTATATGGTATTGACTCCTTTTTTTGGACTCCTTTCTAATGGAAGAGAAAATTGAGAAGTTGTGGCTTCTGAGATCGAAGATAGTTAGTAATAGAGTCAGGATGGCAACCCTAGTCCTGTTTCCTCACTCCTTAATCCACTTAACAAATACTTGTTGAGCAGTTGCTTATGACTGGTACTGTGTTGGACACAGAAACCTGATAGACACAGTTTCTCTGGTGGCATGGTTTCTGCCCTCCTGGAGCTTACAGTCTAGTCAGTGAGTTGTAAGAAGTTCTGCAGCAGAAACAAAGGGCAGAGACAGAAAATAACAGAGTGGCCAGGGGATGGTTTCTTTGACAGGGGACGTTTGTAAGACCTAAAGGGTAGCTGCCCATGTTACATTTTAGGGTTGGAGGGAGAGAACTTTGCATATGGCAGCGACATATGAAAGGCCAGGAGCAGCAGGAGCTGTGGCTGGAGAGTCAGTGTGTTGCGATGAGCTCAGGTCGCAGTAGCTGGAGTGTGGTGGTCCGTAGGGAGAGTGGTTAGGTGAGGTGAGAATGGCATGCGGGACCTGAGGGCTTTGGGAGCCGTGGCCGCTTGGGTTTTAAGTGTTAATTGTGAAGAGGTTTAAGTGACGTAATGTGATTTATATCATGAAACAGTCACTTTTGTTACTGTGTGGAGTATTGTGAGGTAGGCAGGAATAGACATGGGGTGGTTAGTTAGGAGACTGGCTGTAATCCGTTAGAGAAACAGGAGCTGGACCAAGGTAGTAGTAGTGGAGATTTAGTTTTGATAGTAAGCGGGGAGAAAAGGTCTTCTTTTGTCATAGGAGGGAAGTAGGGAAACACTGATGTAACTATACTTACATCTGTAGGTGTTGGAGTAGGGAGATGGAGATTCTGGCTGATTGTACCTACTTTCTCCATGATATGCTATCATAAGGAGAAATGAGAGTTTGAAGGTGACTGCTTTTTTCTTTTCTTTTTCAGTACTAGGGTTTGAAACCAGGGAGTGCTGAGCTACATCCCTAGCCCTTTTTATTTTGTTTTGAGACATAATCTTACTTTATTTCCCAGACTGGCCTTGAATTTGTGATCCTTCTGCCTCTGCCTCTCAAGTAGCTGGGATTACAGAAGTGTACACCCATGCTTAGAACATCTTTGACTCTTAGGAAGTTAAATTTCTGTTACTTAACCTAGAGAAGACTAACGCACAGTGTAAGAAGGGGTCATGTGAAGGGGCGGACCGAAGCCGAGGAGGTCTGAGGAGCTAAGATACAAGAGGGGAGTTCAAGAAGGGTCCTGTGGAGGACTCAGCGCTCGGGGCTGGCGCTTCTGCCAGTGGAATAAGTACAGGAGAAACCCTTCTGCAGTCCTTAGGAGTGTTTCAGGCAAGAAGCAAAGATGGGACAAAGCTAGATGTTAAGTGCCTTTGTTGCCCACGTTAAGTGCTTTAAACTTAAGTGATGATAAAATTGCTTAATGTTTTTGGAAGAGTCAGACTGTATTAGATTAGTGAATTTCGAAACATATTCAGAAGAGTAGGTGACCTTTTACATTTTTTTCTGGATTGTATGGCTTATTTATAGAAGCTATAACTTTGGAATATCCCAAAACTTTAAAGTAAGTGAAACTTTCAGAACAGTTTTCTAGTTTTCCTCTTAAATATATGATAACTCAACTTCCCTACCTGGTATCAGTGTGAAGAGGGAAATTGTTTCAGCTTCTTCAAACTGCTATTGCCTTTTCTCATGACACTAAAACCTTTTAGACTACAGAACACCTTTGCAAAAAGTTTTGTGTTCAGTGGGTGCTATATGAAGTAGGTGTTTATTATATCATCATCATCATCATCAGAAAAAAACGAAAGCTTTGAGAGTATGTTTTGCCGAGGACTCACACCTTCAATGGTGCTGTCTGTGGAGAGGGCTTTTTCTCTTCCTGCATTGCTGCAACAGCCCCTGATTAGACATGGATCTGGTCTTGTTCTGGGTCAT